AAAAAAAAAAAAAAAAAAAAAAAAAAAAAAAAAAAAAAAAAGAAAGGGAAGAGAAAATGAAATAACAAAAATTGGTAGAGAAAAAAATTTGCATTTAGAAAGTAGAAGATGATGATAGCTCGGCCCGTATCAAATGCGTGTACCTGTTTATCTCATGATAACCTTTCATGCATTCGTAACATCTCTAAGGTTAACGTAAAAGTAAAAGAAGAGATCATCCTTGGTTGTTACCTGTTTTCTCATCCCCCAATGTCCTTTTGATCGCGTAGACAAGTACATTATAAGTTTGACTTTTAAACGAGAGAAAAGAAAAAAAAGATCTTCTTCCTTTTCGATGCTAAAAGGAATAATCCCCATCTGCGATAAACGACAATTTATCTCCAACCCCCTTACTATATCCTATCCTAAATTCACCCCCACACCCTCCTACCCTCCACTACACTACACTACAGTACATGCAACGAATTATCTACAAAATTGTATCTTGCTTTTTCTTTTTATATATTTACAATTTTTGCCAAAAATACCAAATAAATGAATACGAAAATTCGAATGCACGATAGACGATCAAAATTTTTATTGACGTGACCTGAATTGTAAAAGTAACACATTTTGACATTGACGTTATCGACGTTTTTGTTCCTTTTTTTTTCTTTTTTCTTTCTTTATCTTTTAAATTAAACACAAAAATGAATAATCTTTAACAAACTTTATATGAAAATAATCGTCAATTTATTTCTAGATACAAAATTTCATTATATTAATTTATTTGTTTCCAACGAGTAGAGAGAGAGAGAGAGAGAGAGAGATCAATAATTCAACAAAGTAATAATACACAACGGTGTTAAAATAACGATACCAATTTTTCCGTTTAATATTTATTTGTAATATATACGAATGAATTTAACAAAAAAAAAAACAAAAAGAAAAAACCAAAAGAAAAATTAAGTAATTAAACAAAGTTAATGGGATGACGACGTTAAGAGGAATCAAACGAAATAATTGTAAATGAAATGGGAAGAGAAAAAAAAAAACAAAATAAAAAAGAAAAAAGGTATCCAGTCGATACAGATTTACGTAGCAATCGTCCTTCGGAAATGTTATATATACGAAGATGCACGATTCAAGTTGGTACCGCAATGCGCCGACATACTGACCCAAAAATACCCTTCTGAAATTTCCTTCCAACCTATCATCTACCACCCCTGACCCCCCCACCCCACACCATCAACATTTTTCGTTAGAGAAAAAAATGAATAGTTTCGTGTCCACTCGGGGTCGTTAACGTTTACGGGCAAATGAGAGAAATTTGATAGGGGTGGGATGGGGTGGGGTGAGGTGTTCTGGGGAGGGGCGGTGTTTAAAAAAAAAAAGAAAAAAAACAACCAGGAAAAAGAAAATTGAATCAAAAGTTGGAATGATATGATATAATATCTACTTGCGCACACGCGTATATTTCCACACACACACACACAGACACACGCGTGTACGATAAAGGGGTTGCTTTGCTTTGCTGTCGACGTTGCGTACGAACGTACATATACGCACTTCATAAATTGAACTTTATGAGTGTTAAACTGCACAAAACGTTCCGACAAGCCGAACGATTTGCGAAACGATTTTCAAGCTAAATAATAACCAGAGACGTTCTTCAATTTCCGTTGATGATAAATACGTATGCATATAAATATGAGTAAAAAATGAAAAAAACAAACAAACAAACAAACAAAAATAAATAAATAAATACATAATATAAAAAAAAAAAAAAAAAAGGGAAAAGTATATACGTCAAAAAAGTAACGGAGAAAGAATAAAGTAAAAATTTTAAAAATGTACATCACGCGAACAACACTATTCGACGTTCATTCTTTGCTACGACGCGTCATAGTTTCGATGCATTCGTGAACGTATTGTTTCAACCCTATACTACTACTACTACTACTACTACTACTACTACTATCTCTATTACTAACGAAAAATAATAGCAATAATAAAAGAAAGAAAGAAAAAAGTACAAATGTAAATATAAAATAAAAAAGAATAAAAAAGGAAATAGACGAAGAAGAAGAAGAAGAAGAAGAAACAAAAAGAAAAAGAACAAAAATGGAATCAAAAAAATGGGGAACAATCGATATAGAGGTGACGATAGAAAATATGAATTTTTGTCAAAAGCATCGAGAGAATCTTCCTGTTCCAATTGCAACCCAACCCTTACCCGCAAGTATTTCTTTGATCTTCTGACAAAAAAAAAAGGACAAAAAACAAGCTCGATCAATCATTCATAGTTTTTTTTTCGTAGGACACATTAATTTTCGTATTATATAATAATAATATAT